ACAAACATGAAACACCATGAATTTGTCAATTATACTTTAATGAAGCTGGGAAAACCAATGAAAAGGCAAAATTCCCTTTGAGATTTGGGGAAGTCTCCTTAAAATAATTTAAAAGCCTTTTCTCTGAAAGCTGCTCATGGTTTCTTCTCCTCAAATCCCCAACCTAGAATTAATATTCTGAATGTTTCCTACATCAACAACTAGGAATGAATACTCTCTGGGTATCTTTCAGTTAGGCCACACAGTGTGAGGGCTCAAATGTTCTTGCTGTTTTCACAGCTATAGGAATGCTGTCTGATCAGTTAGCAACAGTTGACCGTGAAAAACAAACATGAGTACTTCTCTACTGGCTTCAACTTCCTCAGCACTGAGTTGCTGCTTTTGAATACTGGTTCTAGGAAGGATGAAATCAGTATCCAGTTAAACTATGCTTAGTACTCCTCACAAGTTTCACTAACTTGTGAAGGAGAAAATTATCTCGGGCAGACTTACTATGTTGGGGGTCAGCCTTCAGATGACTCTGTAAAAGACTGGTTGATGTTTCCATCTCCATTAATTTCATGACATACTTCCTAAGAGCTACTTAATTTTTTCAGTTTCATTTAGTCAAGACAATGATACATGCATATCCACTTTTAAGTCACAGCAACAAAGATTTCACAGTAAGTTAGATAACTGGACAAGTTACATAATAATCTTTATATTTTCTTGTATTATATACTTTTAGATTCAGCCCTTTTACATCTTTTAAAACAAAGTGTATACAGAATTCCTAACACAAATGATTAAGATACTGTACTTTTCACTCCCATCACAATATAAGCCAAAACCTCTTTACAATCTTTTGTTCTAAGCCTAGAAAGTGCTTCATAATTAGAGACTTAAATGTCTCTCAAATACTAGATGAAATCCAAATAGCCAAATTTCAACTTGGATATTTTAGGAAACAGAAGCAGGACTTTACCAAAATAGGCAGAAAACATGAAAAAGGTAAATAACACTAATTTTACAATTATTATCTGATGCACATTGAAAAATAAGCAGATATTCTTTAATGATAACAGCTCTTATTTGTTAACTCTTCTGAGTTTTCAAGGAGTTTTTCCACACATTTTATCTGGTACATAACCCATCATGTGAGCAAAGAGCAGAATACTCAGAATATTATCCCCATCTTAAAGATGATGAACTAGAGTTCAGCAGCAGGCATGGTGGTTAATGTGCTGGACTCCCACATGGCTGACCCTGGTCTGAGTCCCGGACTTGGCAGCTTGAAGATCACCCTAGGCAAATGTGCACATGTGCATAAAATCCCTAGAGGAGAAAGGAGAAGGGATTGTGGCGTGGCCATCCCCCTGGGGGGGGGGTAATTTCTCACTTTTTCTTTCTCTGTTTCCCTCCAGTGAGCACATGAGCTCTATGGTAAATGAATAAGCAAATCTAAAAAATGTTATGATGCACTAGAGACCACAAGAGATTAGGTGAACAATAACTAGATAACAAAAGCGCACTGCTGACTCCTAGGCCAGCGTTCTCTCTATGACATGTTATTAAACAGGGAGTTACTGGGCAGTATTAACTAACAGTAGTGTCATCACTCCACCTCAGAATTTTAAGTTCACTGGTGCTTCTCAGCTTTCAGTTTAAATTCCTAAGTAACTACTTTGCTGTCTAGTCTTCAAAAAGGAAAACCCATACATACTTTGCCTATATAAGGAGATATTAACCTCAATCATTTGATCTCATTATACTGTATCCATCTATCTTCTACCACTTGTTCTACCTGGTGCCAAAAACAAGGGTTTCCTTATTGAGCAGACAAACTTAACCTGCCAAGATCAAAAGCTCTGTCATTTGTATCAATTGCTGAATTATCTCAGTAAAATTGGTGCATCTATGAGAAATGGGTGAATATTTACCAGTATCATTACCTGATTAATGGCAAATTCACAAGGTATCTAATCTATCAATAGTAAAACCTGACGGCAAAGAAACTATCATTGGTAAGAAAAGAGAAGGTGCTGTGTAAATCACCTCCAAATCCTCTCACTCTCATCCATTTGTTCAGCTGACATTTACTAACTCTTTATCAGATACAATGCATGAATTAGTGAACTATCATTATATTGTTATTTTATTTAAGGTTTTTGCCATAGGACGCATGTGCTCACCAGAGGAGACAGTGATAGAGAAAGTGAGAAATCACCCTCCAGGGAGGATGGCTATGTTGCAATCACTTCTCTTTCATTCCCTTCTTGGGATTTTGGGCACAAATGCACATGCGACTGGTATGATTTTCAAGCTGCTGGTTATAGGACTAGAACTGTGGTCAGCCATGTGGGAGTTGAGTGCCTTAACCACTACGCCACCTGTTGGCCCCAATACTGCACTATTATTTTATAGCTGAGGAACATGGGGGATTAAATCGGATACGCCAAGCTACCCCACAGGTAAATTCTAGTTCAGAGATGTGAATCCAAGAATCTCATGCCAGAGCCTATGCTCTAAACCAGAATTCTGCAGACTACAACCAGTGGATTCATCAGGCTACCATTTGTTTTTAGTTTAATATTTTTAAATAGTTAAAAAAAATCAAAAATATATTTCATGATATGTGAAAATTATATGAAATTCAAACTTCACTACCCATAAATTAGAATACTCATTCATTTATATATTGTTTTTGTTTGCTTTCACATTACAAAGGCAAAACTGAACAGCTACTAAAAAACACCATTAAGTGGCCTACAAAACAAAATATTTATTAGACGGTCCTTTACAGAGAACATTGCTGACTTATGCTCTAGACCATTCTATGTAATGCCTATTCAACATCTCTACTTCGGTGTCTGAAGAAACACCTCAAACTTAATATATCCAAAATCGAACACCTGATTTTCTCCACCCCCTCAGTCTTAGTCCATCTTTTAACAGTCTTCCCACGTAGAAAACTCATCCTTCTAGTAATAAATGCCATAAACCTAGAGTACTTTGAAGTCTTTTCTTCCTTTCACTCATGTTCAAATCAATCAGTACATCTGGACAGCTTTACCTTTGAAATAACCACACACATTTCATTACTTCCCATATTAGAACCTGGACCAAGCCAGCACCATTCTTTTTCAGAATTACTGCTATAATCTCTTACTAACTCTCCCTTGCTTCAACTCTTGCTCACGAAGGCAGTCTTCCCAAATATGCCCAGCACACCCTGGTTTCAGGGCTTTGGCACTGACTTGCTTCCCCATGACCACATATCGTCCTTCTCCACCCAGTGCCATGCCTATACCACAGCCCTACGATTCCCTCTTCCCTGCTAATTTACTGCTCCTCAAATTGTCACAACCTGCCACACCATATGTAACTGGGTTTTAATTGAATTAAAGCTCCATGAGGACAGATGTTTAGTTCGTTTTCTTGACGAGTATATCGCTGGCACTAGAGCAGGGCCTGACATGTATTAGGTGCTAATTAGATATCTGTTCAATAAGTGCAAAAATGGTCTCTACATTCAAAAAGCACTCAGTCCAGTGACATTTGGAATAAAGGGGTAAACACATTTAATGTAAAAATAACTGTATCAAATAGAGTTTAATACTGTATTTCTTATTTTTTCCCCTACTTCCTAATCAAATACCATATTCTAAACGAATCAAATATGAGGGAGTCTCAATCAAAATGAAGAGAGAGAGGGGTCACTCTGTAACCTTTTCTTCTATGTATAAAATTAATCTGGACAACGGGGTAGGCACTGGTGCAGTGATAGAACACAACGCTCTGAGAGGCTAACTTACATGATTTCTGGGATTCCTGTGCCGAGGTTTCCCAGGACGTGCCAAGCATATGCTTGTGATCCAGGGTTAGTGGAAACTAGGAATGGACTGAGGCATTGGGACTGTATTAAGTGTGCTTTCTCTGTCACGTCTTCTCTTTCTCTCTCATGGAATAAATAGCCAGAAAATCAACTTCATTGAATAGGAGTACTGATGAAGCATTCAAACTCCCATTCTCAAACCTACTGCCTTCTTTCATTGTGGTTTTAACTTCTCCCTTTACATCTCTGTCAAATTCTAAGTCCATGCGAGTAGACATACCACCTTCTTTCCTCTCCCAGCTCTTCTCAAGTCCTACCAATGACCATCATTCATTTCTTGGTGACAAATACACTGAAATAGTTTTTTTTTTTTTTTACAAAGACAACAAGCATTTTAAACAATTCATAGAAAATTGAAACTAAGGTGTCAGTTTATTTTGGTACAAATAAAATGTTAAGATCCATGCAGATGGGACCAGCAGATGATGTAATGGTTATGTCGCTGGGCTCCCATGTAGTTGACCATGGTTTGAATCTCGAATCCAGCTGCTTAAAACCTATGCCAGACGCATGTGCATGTGTGCCCAAAATCCTGAGAGGAGAATGGATAAGAAAGAATTGTGGCATAGCTATCCCATCTGAAAGGTGATTTCTTGCTTTCTGTCTCTTTAGCAAGCACATGCGCACTATAGTGAAACACTCTCTCTTAAAAAAAAAAAGATTCATGCATAGATTTTTCCCCACATAATACGCATTTTCCATTAACTTTGTAAATATCCTTCATACCCTTTAAACACTACCATTTCTAAGAACGTATTCATGTGTAGTCAATATTTACAGGAGTTATAAGTACTTTACTGCTGGACCTGGAAACAAGGAAACTTCTAAACGTATAAGGAAAAATATCTAGGGGAGTTCTGGAGTAGTAAAAAGTATCATCGATGAACTAATAACCATATCAAAAATGAACAAGGAAAACATGACATTACCAAAAAGAAAGGCAATCTAAGAGAAAGGAGTGAATAACTTACCAGTGCTGTTACCTGTCGGGCTTTTCTTTACTTCCCCGCTACTTTGTTAACTAGAAAGAGCACTTATAGTCCTACTTTGCTGATTTTTAAATAAATATATGGTAAATCGGCAGATGTGCTAATAGAAGAGAATCAATGACAAGAAATAGTCATACCCTCTCCTCCAGTCTAGCCAGCTGCTCTTTGTAGAATGCATCCTGCTTCTTTATCACTCGGTCTTTTTCTTCCAGCTGCCTGGCCTAAAAAAAGAAATGAGGAATATACTATATCAAGAAAAAGCAACAACAGCAAAGCACAAGTCAAGTATAAATCACATTAGAAATAAACATATAAGACTGAAGAATTTTGCAATCTATTAGGTCTCTGTCAAAGAAAAACATTAATAAGATGATGATTGCTGTATTTAAATGTAAAGAATGTGTCTGCATTGTATTTTTTCACTGTCACAGCTGTGTCCTACTTTGTCCAAATGTATCTGGAAATGTCAGAATACAGTACACAACAGACTGTCTTATTTAACTTCTGTTTTGAAGAGTAATTTCAAGGATTAATATTTTGTACAAAATAAAACTTTGATTTTATTCTCAGAATAAAATAGTTACTCTCCCTGAACGACCGAAAAATACCTTTACAACATTTTAGACATAAATCTTATGTTTGAGATCCTCTAAATTCCCCAATGAAGCCTGCCTATAAACACATATATTTCCCTTTTTTATAAAGAGGTGTTGTTATAAGGAACAGTTAATTACTGTTAATTGCTTATTTGAATAATTCGAAATAGTAATAACAACAATAATGATGAAAGTGATTCAGAAACCTTTACCATCTACTTTACAAGATCTTTTTTTTTAGATGTTATTATTTTTTAATTTACTAGAGGGCACATGTGCTTACAGGAGAGACAGAGTAAGCAGTAAGAAAGCAAATCCTCCCCTTGGGGAACAGTCATGCCACAATCCCTTCTCCTGCTTCTCTCCCTCCTCTGGGGATTGTGGGCATGCAAACACATGTATCTGTAGTGTTTCTCAAGCCACTGAGCCTAGGTCTCAAACTGTGCAATTAGTCATGTGGGTTCCAACTGCCTTAACTGCCAGGTCACAGACTGGCCCAAATCTTTTTTTTTTTTTTTTTCCAACTAAAAAAGGGTGGAAGAGGTTAAAAAAGTGGTTACTTACACATGTTTTTTAAAGATGATTAAGTTTCTTAAACTGTTGTTCCTATCTTGATTATTATATTTAGCTGACCTTTAACTCTGAGGGAAGATACAGCCTCTATTACCTGGGGTCAGAAAGTTTTTAACCTATTTTTGGTTTAGTGAACGCTGACTGCTGACTACACGGCTGACTACTATTTGTAAGACAGAGAACATGTCTATATCTTGTGATACCCACCCTCGTGCCATGTAATATATGCTTTTGCAGTGTTGCCTGACTCAGTCCATATTAAGATATCTGTTAACGAGCAGTCTAATTTAGTTGAACCCATTTGTACACCTATAAGTTTGCTGATGGAAAAATAAACCAGCCAATTTAATAGAGTCAAGTTTTAATAGAGCAAATCTTTTTTTGGGGGGAGGGGAGAGGTTTTTGCTATAAGGCGCGTGCACTCACCAGAAAGACAGAGAGAGACAGAAAGCGAGAAATCACCCCACCAGGTTGGATGGCCATGACATAATCCCTTCTCCATTCTCCTCTTGGGATCTTGGGCATGCACGCACATGCGCCTGGAGTTGAGTTTAAGCCACCGGGTCCAGGACCCGAACCTCAGTCAACTACATGAGAGTCCAGCGACAGCCATTACACCAACTGCTAGTCCCAATAGAGCAAATCTTAACAATTTAAATCGGGCAGCTGTACCTGGACTTCCAGACAACTCTGGCCAGTCTTGTGGTTAACTCAGCCTTTTAAGTTGGCAGAACAGAAAAGTGAGGTGTGTAGTAGGAGGAAAGTGTCATACACAAAATAAGTGAGTGAGGTAGAGAAGTCATTGGTTATATTCCGAAGTGTGTCTGAATTAACATGGTCTAAAAGGCGGAATGCCTGTGATTGACTGAAGTTCAGCCACTATGATTGGCTGTAATCAGCTCCAAAAAACAGCCTAACATGTACAATTTCAGCTTATCCATAAGAATCAAAGTGCAGGAGTACGACAGCTGTTTTAGGCCAAAATAGTTTAATTTAGCAGGTAGTTTTGCTACTTACTTTGTCATCAAGATCCTGCAGCATGTTAAAAAGAAACAAAACAGTTATTTAACGATATAAGCACTGTTTTTTCCTATAATGCCGCAAAGAAATATGGTAAATATTTAAAATGCAAACCAAAGAAAAATGAGAAAAGGGAACAAAAAGATTATATGGAGATACTTAACTTGGGACATATTTAAATGCCACTTTACTGTTACAGTTTGCATAGAAGATTTCAATGAAAAGCTCATGCCATTTGAAAGCATATGAAGAAAAGTAAATATTAAGGTTAGATATAAATATATTCATATGCAAGTACATATCCATTATGCCTTGGTCCAGCACAGAAAAATGACCCAACAATAAGAGATTGATTATAAAGATTCTTTTTTTTTATTATCCAAAGAATTGTTTTTATTTAACTTTATTTTTTTAATTTGACCAGAGAAGGATAGAGCAAAAGGGAGAGAAAGGGAAAGTGAGAAAGCAAGCCACCAAGTCCAGGACTCAAACCGTGGTCGGCCATGTGGGAATCCAGCAGCCTTAGCCATCATGCCACCTGCCGGCCCTGAGACTGATTATAAAGATTCTGACCCAGCCATATAATCAAACATTAAGAACCATTAAAAGCTGATGTTTTAATAGAATAGTTCTTTTTTTTTTTTAGATTCAAAATATGAAGTGGAAAAAAAACAGAAGTCTTAATGTACACTAAATTCCTAATTGTGGATAAGGGGGAGAGGAGGATAGAAAGGGAGGGGCAGAGAAGGCTGAGCACCTACTTACACAGACACGGAGAAAGAGCAAAGTGTGCTATGGTGTTAACGGTGGTTATGAATTACATAGAGTGATGTACTTGTTATTGTGACTGTTGTCTATTTTCTATAATGAGCATTTCCTACTTCTGTAATCAGAAAAAAAAATCCTTTAAATATCAATATTTTATACATACATATTTATCCTTCACTATGAGATAAAAACATGATTCTAAGAATAAACTGTTAAAATAATTTTATTAACAACAAAATTTTGTTTTAACAACTTGAACAATTACAGATAGCATGGAAATTATTTTATCTACTAAATCGTCAATGTATTAGCACCTGTTTTCTCTAACATTCAATATATGACATTACCCACTACGGTGATTAAAACAAACACACTAAATAATGCTTCTTTTGTTCACAGTGAGATTTCTTTTTTTAAAATGCAATGAAGTTCTAATGGATATTTCATTTTGGTTATTTAGGAAACACTAACAGAACTCAATACTACCAATATATTGCTCAACCCTACTGAGGTCATTATACCTGTACAGAAATAATCTCATTCACTTTTCTGAGATATAATTCTTCAAAAAATTTAAAACAACATACCAAAAGGTCAGATATGTATAATAAAGACCAAAGAAGGAGACACCTTCAATAGGTGTCACCAAACTATAGGTTAACATCACAAATATTTGCTTCAATTGCGAATAGAATCAAGATTGAAATTCACTGGGGAAAAATAACAAAGCAAGAAACATGGCCACAACACTTTAATGGCACATTGCTTTGAAACAGTTAATGTGATGCTGGAAGAAAAAGTCACACGATATGAATCCTGAAACTTAAATAAGCGTAGAATACATTGACTAAGCTAATAGCTGCTGAGGATGGAGAGTCACACTCAAGTTAAGAAGAAACAGTAAACCAACTGCAAGGAAATAAAAGTTCTCTACAGAACTCTAACACATACAGTCATTGCAAATGAACAAATAAAAACAAAGGGGATCATAACATTACTTATTGTTATAGTAGAATCATTTCTTAGAGAGAAGTAAATATAAAAAGTTTACCCCCCATCATCTGTTTGCTATTTCTAGAAGAAATGCGCACTGATTAGTTTTTAGCTCTTGCTAGAGTTAGGATAATATGACTGGGCTTGAAAACGTGATAGAATGTGTTTAAGTGGATCATTACGGAAAACAAGAACATCCCACGAGCAAGAGAAAATAATAAGGTGATCAAGTTTTAAAAAACCCAAGATATAAACATCTTGATGTCTTAACCCAGTGTTGGTACCTAAATTAAAAACAATATAGGCACGCATTTAATTCTTTAAAGACATCTCTTCTTTTTTCAGGAAGGACTTAAAGGTACATACAACAAAGGCTACAATAAAGTCAATACAAGGGAAATTTAGGACTGCAGACATGACATATTGAGCTCACAGGAACTTTACCTTCTCACGTATACTCCTAGGTAAATCTTCATGGCACCAGCTTTTTGACATCACGAGGCCCTTTTAGCCCTGCTGGTTCCTGAGGACTCAGGTATGGCACAGAGCCCATGGCATTTGGAACCCAGTGATATCACAATCACTCAGCTCAGTGATAATACACTGCTACTTTGTGCAAGAGGTACTGGGCATGTTTTAGCAAGATTCCGTGCTATGGGAAGGCCTGTACATTTTTAATAGCAAAACTCTTTGAAATGTCCATGTCCAATTTTAATAACCGAAGGTTAAAAAAAAAAAGTAGGTATCTGTTGCAGGTATCGATTTTCCATGATACCATGGAACCAGAGATTGCTAAGATTGAGAAAAGGCAACAACTCTAAGTCAATTTAAATAGAAAATCCCTCTTTTTCCTTTTATTCTAAATCTTGTAACAATCTAAAACATACATTTAATGAATTGGGAAAGATTAACCTATCACAATGATATAGAAGATCTGTAATAGGGCAAAAATCTCTCTCTTTATCTATCTATCTATCAACTCACATAGGCAAAATCGCAAATAAAAGAAAAAGAACTTTATTCCCTGTCAGAACTACATGAGGCAGGCACAATATATATGAACCTAATAAAATTATATGCTGACATTAAACAAAAAGAAAGAACTGAAATATCACAGAGGGTTGAACCATAAACTTGTAAGGTAATATTACATTGAGAAGCTATAGAACATAATCACTGTGAATATCAATTAGCCGTAACAATAATTAAAGTAGCCATGTATTCAATTAGTTGAATACTAGACTTCCGTTATAAATGAGAAATTACACAAGGTTCACTGAGCCTTCACCAAGTGGCATTAATAAACAAAGAATTATACTTAAAGCTTTGTTTCCAAATCACACCAGAAAGTGACCTTCAAGAGGGTGATTCATCCTGGGTGAACTTAAATGATGCTCAACCTAGTTATCAACAGGATCACACTTTTCAATGACTAGTCAAAGGTCAAATCACAAGCTGGGAGTCAACTCCAGGCTGCAGTGTTACACTATACTGAGGCCAGCACTGTCATACGTCACGTAAGCTGTACACAGACCAGTCAGATGAAAGACAGCAGACTTTTTTTTATCTGAAATCTGGGACATGAACCCACGCACCCAGGATTAGATCAAGTCCGTTGGTTTTGTTTTGTCTTCTCAGAAGCATTTCAAGAATCTGGTCTACATTTTAGCTTTTTCATACTAATAACATGCTTGAAGCAGGCAGCTGACTATGTCTGACTATTCCCTCTGCCAATTTGGGACATATTTACATATTCTCTTGAGATACTGAATCATCAGAAAAGTCATGACACATTGTTTCACAGAAAAACAGAAAAATATGTCATGACTTTTCTGATGACCCAATAAGAAAGCAGAAGCAAAGATAAATGGTTTTCAAAATTAAAAAGTAAAGCCAGTGATGAATGAAGAGAAGAAGATTGGAAGAGTACATAAATTTAGAACAGAAAGCAACATGGTGGTGTTTTGCTTTAAAACTTTTCTTAGAAGATCTCTCATTACTTTTGTTCAGATCATGGTACTTGACAAAAGAAACAAAATTATGTTAGCTGAAATAAGGAATTTTTTTCTTTTTTAATCATGATAGAGTATATGCACATGTACATGAGAGTGAAAGTGAGAGAAACAGAGAGAGAGGAACACACTCCGCAGGGCCTGATCACATCACAATCCCCGTCTGTCCACCAACCTGTCAAATCTCTGGCACTCATGCGCATGCCCGGTATGTTTCATATTGACCAGGCTGGGAATGTGAATCCCAGTGGCCATGTAGGATGGCCCAGATGGCCAGCTTCTCTTGAGCAGTCCATTACTGTTGTACCAAAAAGCTGGCCCCGGAAATAATCTTATAATATTTCTCCTATACTTTTTTATGGGGGGTGGTTGTTTAAAACACAGTAATACATCATTAAATCATAGAGATAAGCTCCGAGAAGTGAGGCATTAGGTGATTTCTGCACCCTGTGAACATTGTAGAGCGTACATCATAAACACTGTAGATGGTATAGCCTATTACACACCTCGGGTATGAAATAGCCTATAACTCCTTACAGTACCACCGTTGCTAGCAGGTCTACTGTCAACCAGAATATCATTGTGAGGCACATGATGGCACACATTTACTTCTCTGGTTTTCTAGTTTAATTTCATAATGCAGAACTTATTAGCACAATGACAGAATCCACTTGGTGAGAAGATGGAAGACCCAGATGCCCATCCTGGCTTTGATAAAACACCATGTGACCACGCACTGGCCCAGCCCAATGCTATGCTCCCAAATCACTCTCAAATAATGCTCACTTCATGTAGTCTTTGCCAAATCAGACTCCTGCCACCTATCCCACCTCAGCATCTAATAAAATCTTCCAACACCTCTATTATGGCACCTGGTTTTGATGCCGTCTTATACATGTTTATTTACCCAGTGCCCTTCTCCTTGATTATAAACTGAAACAGGAAAGGCACTGTAATCCTCTCTGTCTGCACTTGTGGCTCTACTTAGGACTCTACTTAGGGAAACAGTACATGGCGGTTGAGGGGAAGAGTTTGCACGATGTAAGTTAGACACAGCTTCCAAGAAGGAAATCTGTCATAAGTTCCATGATTTACTTCAAAATAACACCTCATACACAGTGTGACATTATGTGTACATGTCACTTAGGTTTAGTTCTGTACTAGATGTTGCCAGCAGATTACTTGAGAATACGCAACCTAGGAACCACCAGAAACTCTTACTAGTAGCTCAGAATTAGA